ATTTCGACATATTCAATACGTTTTCCACGCGAGGCGATTCAAGGTTGCTCGGAAATTTGAAAGAAGCGCAGATCGTAATGCGCATGCGCAGTAGAGGTCAAAGTTCGCTGATACATATATGTTGCAGTTTCATCATCTTTCGTTGCCGTTTATACTGTTTCAGTAGCGAGGTAATATGTTTATGTTGCTATTACCACGATTAATATGGGCCTTTCTGCGTGTTCCTGCACAGTGGGAAAGTTTTCTTTGGTAGGCCTGACTATGATAAAGATGTACTACAAGCCCATATAATATATGGAATATAACATTTTTGCACCACATATACATCCAACGGATATAAATGGTGTGACCAATGGCAAAGTGATACGTTATGGACATCACTGTCCTGTTTGGCAATCGCTGTGTTGATTGCGACAACTCTCCTATGGTTTAAGTTGCAGTACATGTATATTAACCCCGAGATATTGATATTACATAGCGTACCAAGACTGTATCAACCATATTAGTGACTGATATTATAAACAACGACCCACTTCGCCAGGCAACGCAGACACAAAGTCAACCAGGTCGCACCTCGGGATCAACTAAAGTCGCCTATTAGTTGTTTCATTGCGATCAGTTTATTGTTTATTTGCAAAGGGTACATGTAGGCCATCGGCCCATGGTACATTGATCATCTGTCCACAGTTAGTCATACATAATACGGTCAGTGCAACACGTTTCATAGTTGTAACTTAAGTAAACATACATCGTTGATAACAGAGTTCAGACTTTGCGGCAAATGTCATGATATTTCAACATTATTATTTGCCCATAGTACATATATCATTGGTCCATAGAGTTTCGAAGTTTGCTTGCACATAGTACAAACATTGCAACACGTCTCATGATTTCAACATTGATATTGGACAATTGGAGGTTAAACTTATGAATTGTAGGGTTTACGAATATACTTATGTGGTATATACTGATTTCTAAGGTTACTATAAGCGCTACATACAAGTAGAAAATGAAATTCGTTTTCGACATTACCATTATTACAGAGTTTACAAACCTTTTGATTTCTTGGAATATTATGATACCTTCCCATTTCGATGTTTAATGAATGAGAACTGCAACGGAAGCGCGCCAAAGCTGTTTTAAACTTGTCAAGATTTAGTAATAGTAAATAAGGTTCAACAGTGAAAGCAGTCTTGAATTGAGAATACAACACATCTTAGGGCTACTTTCAAGAGCGGAATGCCAATTCTGTTCTTAAATGGCTTTTAATCTAGATTCAAATTCTGCCAGAAAAGAGACAGGGGAATCTACACTTTGGGCTTCCCAGATATAGCCAAAACCATAAGTATAAAGCAAGGATTTAATTTAAGATGCCCAGTTAGTCTTCCCACGAGAAGCCTCGAGATACAACATATTATATCCTTTCCTACGAAACCGAGAATAGGGCATATTCAAAAGTTTACACCAGTATGTCAAACAACGTTTGAAAACTGAAATATAGAGGGGATATCTTCCACACTCATCGCGAGCGGAGTGGTCGGCGGTAGAAATTTTAACTCCTAAAAATAGCTTACAAGCCAATAAATTAACTGATTCTATTTTCTCGATGTTATCTAGTCCCCATATTTCAGCCCCATACAAAAGGATAGGAACAACCTTTGAGTCAAATATCTTGAAGAATACGTTATAGTCTATTGGCTTCACATTATTAAGTGACTTTATTACACAGAATAAAACCTTTTTGGTCTGCAGTGAAGCATTAGCAAGGTGCTTATTCCAACTCAGACTCCTTGCGAAAGTAACCCCCAAGTACCTATAAGAAGAAACACACTCTATCAACTTATTACCATAGTACCACTTTTCATACCTTGATAAAATCCCACCATTTTTAAAGACAACCACCTTCTTTTTCTCCAGAATTACAGAAAGTGAATATCTTTAAAAAATCATATAGGAAATTTATCCTCTTTTGGAGACCAAAAACCGTGTCTGCAATGAGAGTAATGTCGTCAGCAAAAAGCAGGAGGAACAACTGCACCAATTCGGGGTGAAACTGAACGCCTGGGAAACATCCTAACTCTATTTCCTTAGCCAACTCATTAATAAATAAGTTAAATAAGAGGGGGCTTAAGATGCAGCCCTGATGGACATCATGTTTACACTCAAAGCTATCTGAAAATTGATTATCAGTTGTACTCCTTACTTTAAGGGAGACATGGTCTCAAGATGTAGCATTAGTAGAGTCACAGTCACAGAAAAAAACGACATCTTGCGAGGTAAAAATTGATAACATACCATTTGTGACCTTGGAATAGGTTTGATACAGAGAATTGGTTCTCCCACATGTCGCACAAAGGATGGCTTAAGCTTCTTGAGTGCTCAAGGCGTTCAAATGCCTCGTAATTCAGAATAGTTCATGTTTTTGCGTGATGATGACGCATATTTCAGATCTAAAACCCATCGAATACTTATGGGGGGATACACATTTGGAACAAGCACTGCAACACACACACACACACGCACACACACACACACACACACACACACATTGGTTCTTTCTGTCACTGCCTTCTAACATACAGTTGATACCTGTGAAAAACCATTTATTTCACCAAAGATCATTTGCAACATTCAATCAACAATCGTATTTTATTATAAAAACACTCTTCAAAACAAGAAACGCTTGCCTTTTTGCAGTTCATTTTGATATATCTTGACAGCAATCGTCATTAAGATCATTCCTCTGTTAATCATGTCGTGGTTGTTGTGTATTGCGCGCAAACGCATCCCGGAATGTGTTTGTAAACCTTTGTCATAAAAATGAAAACGATACATGAAAAGTGCATGCAGAAGAAGTTTTCAACGTAATGGTCGTACAGTGTGTCGGACACATGAGCAGAGACACCGACTATCAAAAAATGCCAAACCAAATTCATCTTTTCACTACGAAATTTACGACGCAAACGAAGATACAAAATGCAAAGATTGAATGCTACTGACCGAAATATCATCACTGGACGTTTGGAAGCAGGGGAGTCCCAGTCCGCCGTTGGAAGACAACGTCCACCACAGTACTGTATCTCAATTATGACATCGATATATCCGCTTCAATTCGACCCAAGATCGTCCCAAAAGCGGAAGACCAAGAGTGATCACTCCTGCTGAGGACCGGGGGTTTCACCTATACGTCACCGATTTGCTACAGCAACGGACACTACAGGACAGGTGCCTGGTCTTCGAAGAATTTCCGACCAAACCATCAGCAATCGCCTGAGAGATGTGGGAATTCGAACATATTGACCAAAAGTTGCCCCCGTCCAGACACGACTACACCGACAACGATGTGCCAAATGGTGCGACAGGGTACAGGCGGTTAGTTTTCAGCGGAACACCAAATTCATTCTTTAAAAAAACTTGTGGTTAATTAATACCGAGCGATTAAAAGTTGCCCAAAAGCCGTCTGCTTCACTCTCGCCCGCCAACAAAACCACAGAGAGGTTACGTAACGCTGTCGCCAGAGCACTGCAGCGAACCGGAAGTGACGTTATGTGAGGAAGGATTTTCAGTCAGTTGTATATAAAGTGTGTAATAAGCTCGTCATTTTGCTGATTTCTCGACGTTTTCATCGAGTAAAAAAAAATCAAAACTACTTACCAGTTGTAGTAAAATATGTATATGATTGATGACCAAAGGGTTTTGCATGACACAGCTTGTAATATAACGATTTCTTCCTTGGAAGCAAGGTTGTGGTCGAAGTGACAGTAATATTGTAAGTAGTATTATATTGACACCAACCTCGCTTCCAAGAGAGAAATTGTTATGTTATAAGCTATGTCATGCAAAATCCCATTGGCCATCAATCAAATACATATTTACTACCAGTACAAAGTAGTTTTGATTTTGTAACTCGGTGAAAACAAACCTAAATAGCATTTATTCTCAGACTGTCGGATGTTCGCGACAGGACGCCGTCATTTTAAAAATCGTACGTCACGGGCTAAAGTCTGTTAAGAATTAATGAGATTATGGTTTGTTTTCATCAAGTCAGAAAATCAAAACTACTTTCTACTCGTAGTTAAATATGTATTTGAATCATGACCAAAAGGATTTTGCATGACACAACTTGTAACATAACGATTTCTTCCACGGAAGCGAGGTGGGGGTCGAAGTGACAATGTTGTGCGATAAATTTCTTGCTACATTCACGTGGTTAACGTCATCTCACCACTATGTAGATACTAGTCGATCGTGATGAGCGAGGCTGATCATCGTTTTCACTATCACTAGCGTCTGGCTCGAACAAATAAGGCCTAGCGATTGTTTCTTCATTGAAGATTGAATGGACAGATTGTCGCTGTCTGAATTACTTCCGGACATGTTAGAGTCTGCTTTGTACCGAAATGCCAACCCACTGAATTAACCATATTGAAATCACTTGACATAAATGGTTTAACACCTAAGTAAATTTGGGAACAAAAGGCAGACCTAGCCCACAGGTTACCATTATGACAACAAGCGATTTTGACGAGAATCGTCTATGAAAACAAGTTGTAACTCTGAAGCTACTCCAAGCTAGGCAAAGCAGGTGACAAAATTAATGACAGTAGATTGTGAGAACACATTACTTTCATTTTTCACAACAATTGTCACGATTTCAGGTTTAGACAAACCTGTAAACAAAATAATTTACCCCCAGAAATGTACATGAATTCTACAGTGCCCCTCATATCAATACCTCACATTACGTCACGGAGACGCGCCCCTCTGATTGGTTGAAATTTCGTTTGCGGGAGAGAATTGTGCAGTGTTGTCAAAAAGGTCGATTTAAGTTAATTAAGGGTCGAAATGAGTAGTTTAAATGACGGGGTTTCATTTATAACGATGCCATTAAATGATTTATGCATTTGTACCTCCCTAGAGTATATGTGATCTTTAATGAACGTATTGAGAACAGGAATGTCTTTATATAAGATATGTCTTTATATAAGATATGTACTTACCAGCTGGTTCATATTGGTAGCACCGGCCTCCCTTCTATAGTTATTGTGAGTTCTTAATATATCAACCTTCTCCTCGAAGGTGAAGCCAACCCTGTCCTTGGCAATGACATCAAATCTCCAAGCATCCATTCCATGTAGGCAGCACCCAAACAACAGAACCAGACGAGCTAACGTAACCATCGTGCTTGCTGGACAACCCTGCCTCTTCTGATCAATCTGCTTACCTGGAGTACCTACTTTATATAGGTATCCATATGAGGCAGCTCGGCACGTTCGGTATTGTCACTAGGCGATGACTATATGTGTAGGCAGATTGATTGGTTGAGCTAGATGGCTTACAGTCATGTCAGTCATTTACATATGTTCGTATATCAATAGTTCAGATTGTGTATCTGTTAATAAACAGCTGGTGGTTTTGTTTGGACATTATTACTTTATATACAATATGACTTTATAAGACAGTTTACACAAGGCTTTGTAGCAGGTCACAAGTTACCGTGTGTATGATGTGAATAAAGCAGAATGGTTTCCACACGTGACACAATTAAGCAGGTTTATAACATTTGTCATATGTTTTGATAGCTTCGCTGGTAAATAATTATTGCAAGTATATGTTATAATTCTCGGGTATCAGTTTCCATTCACATTACTGATAAGAGTAACCTGTTGTATGACAGCATGTCTACAGTTTGAACGTCTTTTAAAATTAATAGGCGTTGTTATAACACGAAGAAGTTTACAATTACAATTTTATACATCGCATATTGTTTCGGAGTTTGTCATTTGATTGGTATTGAACGATATTAGATCATCGAAACACCTGAAGCTAAAATTAAACGTCTTGGCGAAATTATCTTGGCAGCGTCAGACATTTTACATTTGACATGTATACAGAAGAGCAGGTGATTGTGCCGTCTCACGTGGAATACAGAATTATCCATTGTGAAAGTCACAATGTTATTTTCCGAGTGTCAATCACGGTGTTATTGTATTGAGAATGAATATTCTGAGCACATGCTATGAGGATTTCTCAAGTAATAAAGTCGCAGTTGTAAGACTCTCATAGTAACGACGTAGTTATTGAGGGAGCTACAGGGTGAAGGGCGTCAGATACGACAAATGTCGCTCGGTACTTGTAAAATCGTTATTCCATTCCCAGATTTGTTATTCAATGTCATATTATTTGTTAGTTCCGTCTCAGTTCGGCAAAACTACATCCTGTTTTACGTATATATTCTTCTTGTCGTAAATGGTAGACCCTCAGCGTGTTGACCATTGTTTTACACAGAAAAAACACCTTAAGATATGTAGTTTATGGTTAACTGAGTTACTTATGTTAGTATCTGTTCAGGCCCTTTTGGATGGATATCAATTAAGTTGTTACAATAATTAGCGTCAAGTTCATCACGTTACTCTGGCAATTAGGTTTGTAAAATAGTTTGCTTCAAGTTAATGTTGACACTAAACATTCCACAAGTACACTGTGTGGCCAGCTAACACTTATTCCCTGACACTTGCAGCGTATCATGATGTACAGCACAATGCTGTAGTCAATGGATGGCATTTAGCAGAAGAAGAAACAACAACTATAAGTTCTATCTAAGATACACCAGAGCAGCGGAGACAGAGCAACAGTGGTTTGATGCTGCTAAATGTCCTACAGCAAACATATTGAACAGTTAATGGACTGCCCATGGCTGTGGACATAACCAGACACAATTCATTCCGCACCAACGCCCACCTCAATAAAGGACTGAACTTAGTTTTACTCCCCTTTTAGCAATATTCTAGCAATATCACGGCAGGAGACACCAGACATGGGCTTCACACATTGTACCCATGAGGGAATCGAACCCGGGTCTTCGGTCTGACGGACAAACGATTCAACCAATAGGCTACCCCACCACCCCTCGCGCCTCAATAAACTCGACAAGGTTAAAGAAACTAGTTCACCAACCTATATTGATGTAAATGCGCGTTTTTGACTGACAGCAATGACTTAGTACGGTTTTACTTCGCTTTTATCAATATCGTAGCAATATCACGTCGGGGGACACCAGAACCAGAAATGTGCTTCACACATTGTACCCATGTGGGGAATCGAGAGAGTAATGGAAGAAAGATGTTACGAAGGATATTTCAAACTACGGAGGAGGCACTGGGAACACGTTTTTCATGTTCATCACGAATGGACAACTTAGGCATTGTTTCCACAATTACACCTAGACAACTTAAATGTGTTTTTGAATTCAGATATGAGCACCGGTTTAAGCATTTAGGTGTTATGGCTGTGTGAATATCGGGCAACATTTAGACAGGTTTGAGCACAAGGACCAAGGTAATTTAGACTATGTGTTCATACTGTAACCTCTACTTACACCATGATTCTTTTGTCTCTATATGGCCCATATCTGATTTGTAATTTCAACACCGCTGGGAAATGATAAACGGAAACCTGCAAATACAAAAGTGGTATCATTTGTTACCCATTGTTACAGAGTGTTACATGACAGGTGAGCTCATGCTGCGAAGAGATAGGACAAGCATGGATCTTGTGCGAAGAGAACCTGTTACAGTTTTTATGTTATGTTTTCTATGGTTTCTTAATGACACTATAGGGGCAGTGGGGTAGCCTAGTGGTTCAAGCGTTGGCTCGTCACGCCGAAGGCCCGTGTTCGATCCCCACATGGGTGCAATGTGTGAAGCCCATTTCTGGTGTCCTCACCCTGATATTGCTGGAATATTGATAAAGGACCGTAAAATCATACTCACTCACTCAATAATGATACTATAATTACCTATAACTATTGAATATATTTATCGTAAATGTCCGATGCTAAAGGGGGAAACGTAGATGTACACATCAACAGCATCAACACTTCAGAGCATAAATTGACAATATGGTGGTCACTGTTTAGGCTTTGAAGCGTGGCGACGATTGATGAACGTTTATATTGTGACAGACAAAATTGTTTAACCGTAGTTTGAGGGATGTTCAAGAAAGCCCTCATATATGTGCATTGTATCTATGCTTCTCAAAAGTAGTTGATGGAACATCATTTTGGTTTGGTTCGTATTGTTGTCTATGTTTTTGTTAACGACTAAATAAGTGGCCATTATTGTTGACTTAGTTATTAATAATAAACTACTTCTACATGTGTTCAGCAATTAGTCAATGTCTCATTCTGATCAAAGCCCATATAGAGCTAACAGATCAGTACATACCAACGAAACCGTATGTGTTCTTCATGGTACATCTGGTAACATGATAGACAGGACGGCATATGAGAGGGGTAGTGCAAGAATTCAATTAACAGTTCAATACCGGGTCCATGTTCGTAACATTTGAAGCAGCGGTGTCGCATTGGCCAGGCTGAGCTATCGCTACCGGTCCTGATCTCATCGTTGGCGTCTATCCATCTCATCCCAAACATCGGCTTTTGGAGAGAAGTCTATTGTATTCCCTCAACCGTTTGCGTGAGATTCTCATCTTATTCGCCTTTAACCTAGGAATCGTGATGTGATTCCCCAGATTGTCCTCTTGACCTAACGTCACACGTGGACGACTGGCCTCTGGCAAGTCATGAGAGTTTCCTTGCTGTAAATAGCGTCTCGAAAGAGATGCTATTTATTTTTGATGAGCATTAAACTGTCCCACACTGGTAACTACGTTTTGCGCCATTCCTGTTTGCAATATAACCACGCTTATGTCGACTTGAAGCACGTCATTGGATTGCGGACGCTTTAACCATTAGGCTAACCCTCCACCTCTGTTCTCATAGGGTACTATGATAAAGGTGTACTACAAGTCTATGTGGAATTTTATTGTTTTTAACTAACTTTACCACCAATTCAAAGAATATGAATGGTGTAATCAATGACAATGTCATACGTTATTGACATCACTGTCCTCATTGGCGGACACTGTGTTGATCTCAACAACTATCCTATAATTAAAGTCACAGAATATTAATCCCGAGATATTAAGTTAACTCAATTACATCTACTTTACCTAGCATACCAAGACTGTAGCAACCATATCAGTGACTGATATTAGTGATATTATGAAAACCGACCCACGCATCTGGCAACGCAGACACAAACTGCTCTAAATTATGTCTTGAACTCTGTCAGATCCGCAGTCGACCATGGTGAATCTGCTTTGCTTGTCCTCCTGGATTTATCTGCGGCTTTCGACACAATTAACCATGAAATTCTTCTTGAGCGTTTGGTGAAAGAATTTGGTTTGACTAATACAGTTCTTGACTGGCTAAGATCCTACCTTTCAGACAGAACCCAGTCCATTCACATCGGAACGTCTTCATCATCCAGTCACACCCTAACCTGTGGAGTTCCCCAGGGATCAGTTCTTGGACCAACTCTTTTCTCCCTGTATACTCAACCGCTCGGAAAACTGATGTCTGCTTATCATGTGCCTCATCATTTCTATGCGGACGACAGCCAATTGTTTGACAGTTTTAAGTCGTCAGAACAAAGTCAGTTAGAGTGCAAGTCCAACCTTGAAGCATGCCTCTCGAGCACAAGATCCTGGATGTCTGCTAACAAGCTGAAACTTAACGACTATAAAACAGAAACAATGGTCATCTCCACAATCTCAAGACAACGAAACCTTATCATCAAAGATATCTCCATTGGGCAATCTTCGATTCCTTTTTCTCCTTTGTGAAAAACCTTGGCGTTCTTTTGGACTCAAACCTCAGCATGGACAAGCAAATAAATCATCTAGTAAAGACCTGCCACTACCATCTGAAGAACATCGGCAGCATCCGCAAAGTCCTAACAAAAGAAGCCACTGCCACCCTTTGTGCGGACACTGATTTTATCCCGCCTGGATTACTGCAACAGTTTACTGTTTGGCATCTCTTCCTCTCAACTCCATCGTCTTCAGAAAATCCAGAACAAAGCTGCACATCATCACTCTCACCAGTCCTCGCTGTCACATCTCTCCCATCCTAAACTCTCTACACTGGCTCCGTATTCGTGAAAGGATTGATTTCAAGATTCTCTGCCTCACCTACCAGTCTTTCTACAACTCAGGACCTTCCTACCTTCAAGACCTTCTGACACATTACTCTCCAGAAAGAACCCTGCGCTCATCACAACAACTGTTACTTTGCTGTCCCGAGCTACAGTCTCAAATCATTTGGCTCAAGGACCTTTTCATATG